TTCAGTTTTTTGTAGAGATAATGATGAGTAATATATTAGCGAGATTGAGAGTGAAACGACGCTATATAACTCAGTCAGATGTATAACTCAGTCACAAAACATTGTTTCTAAATTCGTACTTAGCGAAACCTACGATAAAAAGTGATCACTGTGTAGAGCTTACTTTTCTCCATCTATTGATGCTATATGATCGATATTTTATCTCGAAATGATTGAGCAGTGGCTCACAAAAAGATCTGGTCGCACAATTTTGACGCGTGAAAAATTTGATGTTTTTTTTAATTTTAATAAAAATTAAACAATAGGGAACTTAGACCTAAGACTAACCACAAACATACTAGAGACGACGGGCTACAACATGGTACAAGTTGTAGGTCTTTAGCTACTTTCATCTCTCAGATACGAAACAAACAAAAACATTTCATTAGGTGGTCGCACAATTTTGACAGCCATTGTATGTGTCGAAGTTTACGGCAAATGATAAAGAGTCATGTGCGTGGATTCATTGTGTTGGATGTATATTTGCTGGTCGAATTAAAGATTGTCAAAAGGCTAAATGTGACTATGCGGAAGGGCAACATACTGGACAAAAAAATGATTATGTATGCGGTCTTGAAATTTGAATGGAAGAAAACCCAAGCAGTAGACTTCAATAAATTACCGGAAGAATTTTGGCTTACACCTAGCGAAACAAGAGGAAAGAAATGTATATCAGCTGTATTACAGACTTCGAATTCCGTAAGAACAACAGTAGGAACGCCGTTAGAAAGCATTAGTTGACTATTTCGCAATATTTCATGACTGCAGAAATCCAGAAAAAGTCAAATTCATGTTTTCAACTAACCTAATATTCAAAAATAATCGGATAAATGTCGAGCATTATTTCTACATGTTTTTGATGTAATGGAAAGTGAATTATGCGCTCGAAAGAGCAAAGTCTGAACTTTAAAAACCGTGGAAAAACGAACTTCTTGTGATTGACTGGAATAAGAAAAAATTTGAATCTCAAGCATTGCCAAAAAAACTCTTGTATAGTGCCTTTTTATTTACTATTTCACTATAGCTAGAAAGAGACAGTTTTTTTTGAAAGCCAAATAGATGACAATGTTGCACCCGCAAAACTCTATCGATCCTTTTACTTTCACAAATCTTTCAGTAATTCATTGATAGTAATAAAGGCATATATAAAACTTTCTTTTGGTAAAAAATACTGTTTTGCAAAGATAAAACATCGAGAAAATCTGTTTTATTCATGGTACAGATAGTGTTAGCAAAGACTAACACTATAGTGCTAGTCTAATTAACTGTGTTCCTAAAACTAATGAAAAATATGATAATTACTGGTTGAAAGATGGATCGAAAAATAATTCATTATACACTATTTGAAAGAGCGATAAAAGTACTTCTGGTTTCTTATAATTGTATAATTCCAATGGTACTTTGTTGTACGAAAAAAGCTACATTTGATGAGAGAGCTACCCAAGTGAGAAACATCCGGTCGGATCTCGAAGGATCCGTTTCATTTCGACTATTTCCGGCTCTCGGCCGTCTGACCGGATCCGGTGAGCGGATTCCGTTCAGTTTCTGTTCAATGTCTGCAACTAAGGTGGATCCGATCACCGGATCCTATGACCGAATCGTTCGAATCTGATGGTTGGACGTCATGATGAAATCTGTTTTATATTCAGGGCACAAACGGTGTTAGTAAAGACTAACTACCCTATTGTGAGTGCATCGGTTATTTTTTCGTATTTTTCAAAAATTCACAATAAATGTTTTGTATTTTCATAAAAACAATTTTCAACATTTTTCTAAAACGGCAGTTTTGTACGGAAAACATTTCTCTACAAGATGATATATAATAGTTAATTTTAAAGGTTTTGGGTTTCTTTAAAAAGCGTTTTTGATAGAGAGGCGTATCGGTTAATAACCGCGGTTATAACCGACCGTTATAACCGACCGTAGGTTTGAGGAAAACGCTTTCTATTTATGAAAATACAAAACATTTATTGTGAATTTTTGAAAAATACGAAAAAATAACCGATGCACTCCTAATTGTGAGTTTGTAGAGAATTGCATGCTATTTCGAAAATTGTATTTTAGCAATAAACAAAGCTCGATCAGTATCTGAAAATCATTGATTAGGTCTAATTAACTGTGCTTCTAAAACTAATGAACACCGTGATAATTACTGGTTGATAGATGGATCGAAAAATAATTCATTATCCACTATATGAAAGAGCGATAAAAGTACTTCTGGTTTCTTATAATTGTATAATTTCAATGGTACTCTGTTGTACGAAAAAAGTTGCATTTGATGACAGAGATACCGAAGTGAGAAACGCCCAATTGGACCCCGAAGGATCCGTTTCATTTTGACTGTTTCCGGCTCTCGGCCGTCTGACCGGATCCGGTGAGCGGATTCCGTTCAGTTTCTGTTCCTTCCATTATATTTCAATGTCTGCAACTAAGGTGGATCCTCTGACCGAATCGTTCGAATCTGATGGTTGGACGTGAACGGATCCATCCATATATAGCTCTTTCTTTTCTCTCCTTTCCTTTGGTTGCTCTGTACGTGAATAAATTCACCGTTTTGTTTCTCGGTGTTTTTAGTATAAATACGTCACTGTAAAACACGAAACATGAGATACTTTTTCTTCAAGTTTCCGCATTGAACAGTATGAGTTATCGAAACTCACTGCTGTTCGAAGAGATATGGCTCAGTCAGTCACACACGCCTTGGGCTAGTCTCAGGAACTGATTTAACAAACAAAATACTAAACAAAATGAAAAATATTTATGGCTAAATATTAGCTTTTAAGGGCTAGGAAAACAATCCATAAATCCAGTGCAATCGCGTGCTTTGCGATGCTGTTTCTGACGGTCGGATCCATTACATACAGTTTTCGATCGGAATTCGGGTAATAGGAGTCCGATGCAATCCACCACGGATCTGAACGATTTTGTCGAAATCTGACACCTTCCGGTGCCTTCCGACGTCGGGATCCGGCCGGCTCCTACCGGATGCTGAGTCAGGAAGGAACAACCTGGGTAGTCCGTAGAGGACTTAAGTTACAAGGCCTTTTTTGGCGGTACTTGCGATTCAAATTATTTCTCATTTAAGGGGGTGTCCTTCTACCAGTTTGTAGAGGACACCTCGAAGTATACGTCTCAACAACTCTTCCCAGTTTGTAAGGGATACTTCGAAGCCTTTTTGGCTTACTGACATTATCTGGCTGAGGGGAAAATTAATTACTTAAAACAATATTGTCAAATTTTCGGCTTAACAGACTTACCGAGCGGCGAAAAATGAATTTGAAAATTTTTAAGATAGTCCATCTGGTAGCTCGTGAAATTCTCTATCAGACGAGGTATTGCTTGAAATTTTTCGTTGAGTCATTATTTTACAAATGGGACTTTAAGCTAGTAGAGTAGGCTAAATTAACGTTAATTAGTACTAATTAATCAATAACCGGAAGGAAAGAACAAAAATTTTTACATATTTTCTCGTCATAAATATTCTCCACACATTTCTCCATGGATCTAGGCAAGAACTAAGTTTTCATGATGAATGGAGAATAGACAGGAAATTTTGTAATAATAACCCCGTGCTCAAAACTTTAACAACATTTTTTTAAGTAATTAATTCTTTTCTCAGCTAAAGAATGTAAGTAAGCTGAGAAAACTTCAGAACATATACTTCGAAGTATCCTCTTCAAACTGGGAACGCTAGAGGAAAATCTAAATGGCCCCCCTTAAACTCAGTCACAAAACGTTTGATTTTCCACGGTTTTTAAAGTTCAGACTTTGCTCTTTCCAGTGCATAATTAACTTTCCAGCATATCAGAAACGTGAAGAAGTAACGCTCGACATTTGTTCAATTACTTTTGAACCGTTGGGTTATATCAAAAATATAGATTTTAGAAAATTATCAACGCTTTTTCGAACCACTATTTGTTAAATGAGTCAGAAAATGATTACTGTGGTGAATAGTTAAGAATCAAAGAATATGTGTTATGCCACCCTAATAATTGAGCTTTGATTTGATGAGCACCCCGAGAAACCTTTAAGCGCCAAAAATGAGAATGATCCGACTGGTAGGATAGTAGTTAGCCTAGATCGACTTTCTCATGTACCACATCTATTGCAAAAGAAACTCTATGTAATGTTTTTCAAATCTTTCAAAAAAATAGATTTACATATTTCAGGCGAAGGTGATCACTTCGAACAACTGTTGTAGATGAAGTTATATGAAATAAAACTTTAAGAAACATCGAATAATATTATCAAAAGCTAATCCCTAGCCAAGCTAAAACGCTAATTTTTTTCTGACTTTTGGAACACCCTGCATATACCTCGTAATTCTGCCGGTAACATCGCGTTTTACTTGCATATCATATTTTGTGCTGTAATCAAAGTAGTACAGCAATAGGTAATCAGTCATGAATCTTATTCAAATTAGCGAATGAATGTCTAGGGAATAATATCAACTCCTACGGATGTTGCTTTGCACAAGTTTGTGCCTGGACGTTAACCGTCAGTATTTCGATTTTCGTGGACAAAGGTCAAGGCAGCTTTTTGTGGTGCGAAAACAGATGTCAGCAAAAGAAAGTGTTGTTCGACTAATATTCTCTTCTATTGTTCATTGTGTAAATAATATCAGGTTTATGTTTGCTTATAAAAATTATTGTTGACTGTATATGATTAATTAGCTCTGTAATAGAAAAATATAGTTTTGTACTATTGGATCGTATTAATTTTTGATTGATTTTTTCATATTATATAAAAAAATAATCAAGATTTGAGATGAATTTTCTGATTTTCTTTTCATTCAAAAATTGAAACCCTCAATGTGTTTCACTGTCATATGCACAGAAGAATCTTAACTGAGGTATACTTAGCTTCTCTTTTTCTTGTTGTTTTTTATATTATTATGTACCACTATTATCATGTTCAGTATGATCTACTACTGCTCATTTTGTCAATTTCATGTGTTTTAACAACACATTTCCTTGGCGGAAGTATTACTTGGCATCCATTGAATTCATCATCCACCAATAGTCCAGTTCAAATTGTTATCACTCAAACATATTTATGGAAACAAACTACATATTCTTGTTCAGCAGCACAAATTGCTTCTGGGACGTATCAGATACCAATAGGTAATTCATTAGGAGGAAATGAATCCTTAAGATGTATATCACCTCCCGCAACATGTCCGTCCGACTGGGATACACAAAAACCCACTATTAAACCCTATTGTACAGATGTTTCGTCGGATTTGGTGACTACAGTTGGACAACGATCAGATGTTGTGACATTAGATGCAAATGCAAATTTTACTATTGCATTTCAAAGTGGGATGTGGTAAGGGAGTAAATAATTTTTTCGATGCACAAGAGGATTGAAAATATATATGCTTGAAACCAGGAACACATCAGAATAGGTCACGTTTCGACTGAATAGCTGATAATAGCAGATCGGTTTGAGAAAAATATATATCTTCATCAGCCTACTGGACGTCTCTACAAACTTGTGGAGAAAGTGCTTCGCAACTGTTTCTATCTTCCGCTTTATTTATCAAACGCGAAACCGTTTGATATACGAAAACATTCCAGTGTCAATGATCATGTCAGATTTGATTACTTCATGTAGTTGTGAGACAAAATATGTATTTTTGATTTTAAGGAGAACTTTAAATAATCCTGGTACAGGAACAATTCAAAATAATGACGCAAAATGGTCAGTCTCTACGTCTATTGATTTAATACCAAGATCAGATGGAACCTATAATAGTGCTCCAGTAGCGACAATGTTATCACCGATTAACATTCCGGTATTAATTCCATTTATAATACAAATACCAGTCGTTGATGCTGATGGTGACGTTATTCGTTGCCGATGGGCACAAAGTACAGCTACATATGATGAGTGTGGTAGTGTATGTCCTCCTAATTCTCTCCCATCCGGTACAATAGTAAGTTCTGATTGTCAATTAACTGTGACTGGTCTTGTATATGATGACTGGTATGCTGTTACAATAGTAGTGAGTAACTATTTGCGACTAATAATATAATTAAATACTATTTGTCTTTCCACAGGCTGAGGATTTTATAGATTCATTGAGTACCGATCCTTTGAGTGCTGTTCCCGTTCAATTTCTTCTTCATGTTGTTAATGCATCCGCATGCGGTGTGAAACCACAAATAATTGGAATTCCTGTTGATCAGTCATGTATACCTGTAGTAGTTGGACAAGTCTTTACAACACAATTAATTGCTCTCAATTCCTGTCCGGGCACCATTATTACGGACATTGCCACATTGTCTTTTCTAGCTGTTGATAAAGGCAATACAACAAAATATAATTCATCCATTTGGTATAAGACTTTAACATGGATACCATTAATGAAACAACTTGGATCACAAGTTATGTGTGCAATAGCTATCGATAAGTAATTATGAATGTACAAGACTGCCGGATCATTAAAAAATCTTGACTATATTCACAGACTAACCTATGTGCATGTGTACTGTTGTTTCTCATTTTGAGTTTTCTTATTATTTAGTGTTAATTCACAATCGACTCAATATTGTATTACATTTTATGTTTCAATCGATTTACTCTGTGGATGTCCAGGTCCAGAACTACAAAACTGTTCGACAACAACTATAAGGTATGTATTATACATGTTTGAATAATATGAATTATCTACACATAAATTTTATTTCTTAATAAATTTTGCCTAACATTATAGTCCTTCAACAGTTACGACAACTCAGAAAATGTGTATGTTCGTAAGTAACGCCATAATTTTAACGTTTTTCAGTTTTTTCTTTCTTGTAATTATAGCTGAACCTTATGATTATTTACCAATACTTCTTATTTTATTAGCATTTTTGATCGGTTTCTCTTTATTATGTTGTCTCTATTGTTATTGCTGGTCAGTTGAGTCTTTGAGTCATAACAGTGTGAACTGACTTCATATAGGAGTCTTGTATTCTAGTGGTGCCGCAGCTCGACGATGCCGTCTGTTTAGCTATCATCCGAAAGAAGGACAATTTCAATTTTATTATATAGAGAGTATTTGCACTGACAAAATTCAAGTATTGGGAACACCATCAATAAGTGATTTCCCTAAGATAAAACACTTTTTTTCCTCCAAAAAGAAACATGAGAAACCTTACATTGTGTATAATGCCTCATCAAGTAGTAGTACTATTAGCCGTTCATCATTGAATATACCATTCGAAACTGAAGCTACAACGGATTCTGAAATAATGACCGGTGAACAACAACGAAGGCAACGTCGTAATACAAATATAAGTGGTATTACTGTTACAAAAATAAACCCATTCTATTTAAGTCCTCATAGCGTTCCCGATGAATCTGCTCAACCATCAAGTGTTTTCGCTTCTAATAACTATCAATTCCCGACAAAGTCCACAAAAAGAAACGAAAGTATAATAACAGTAACAAAATTAAATTCAATGTCTATGATAAATCACGGCAGAGACTTACCACAATCAAAAGGACGTGAACATAGTTCTTCATCATCTATAGTGTCTGAATCAAAACCTCTTATCTCAGTTGTTAATAAAAAACGACACAAAAGTGCAAGAAATGGAATAACTGGTTCGCATCTGAAACAAACCATTGAACCAACGGTAAATAACATTCCTGCTGGAACCGAGGTTGATGCTGTAAAACAGCGCAGTATGCAGTCTAGCAAAAAGACAAAGGATACAACAGTTGAGCAAATATTACATCCCGAACGGAAAGAAACACTAAGATCATCAGCTGTTCATATGCCGATAAGTAAATCTGTTAGTGTTTTGCGAATTAAGGGCGAAAAATCAGCATCACAAGCATTAAAAACTATCGAAAATAATTCTAGCCGAGAAAGAAATAGTTCAACAGAAGTGCAAAATCGAATGCCGGGTGTAACTGTTGTTAAATTACCAAAACTTAAAAATTCATCTTCAAACGATGAGGTTAACTATGTAGATTGAAAGATACGTTAGACCTAGAGTGTTAGACCTAGTGTGTTAGCTGTACTCATTTGAAATAAAACATGATAAATCCATCTTCCTTCCATCTCAAGGCTTCCTGTTCACCTAATTACATTGTGATTTATCAACCCCATATTTTCAACATAAAAACATCCGATGTTAACAAACTTTTCATGCAGCACAACAATACATATTTTGTGGATAGGAAAGCCATCGAAAATAACTGAATGCGTAGAACGTAGGCAATATTCTACGCGTCCAGACAGAGGAGTGCTCTTCTCTTTCTTGTCTCATTAGGAAATAAAGCAAATTCTAATTTCTACAAGTCACGCACCACCACCGCACATCTCCGCAAATGGCGCGCCGCAGAAATTGTATGGCTTTTAAGAGTCAAAAAACCTTGTCAGAGTGGTACGTTAGGTACCAAAAGGTGAAACTTCCTGTACTGATCTAGATAAGTTAATAAAAACCAGCGAGAACGACGTTTAGATATGATTTATTCCTATTGTGTTTTATTTCGAGAACTAAACATGAAAATTATTCATTTGTACTTATCAAAAAAATATTATTTCCTGTTTTCGCCTCTATTTTATTTTACAAAGAGGAATTATTTGTTAGTGGTTTAAAGAAAAATGAGCAACAACGATACTCATAGTGGGTGCAAGATGACAAAAAGAGACTAATGAACTTAGGAAAGTAATGCGAAAGAGAAAGAAACAGATAACGATGAGTTAAATTGTGAATCAAAAGTTGAAAAAAAGATTACAGTTGAAGTAGGAGGTGGTTCTGATGGATCAACAAATAAAAACGGCGTTAACACTGACTGAGTTTTTTCATACTTCGTTTTGTTTTGGCAAGCAAAAATAAAAAAACTATGGGCGATGCAAAAAATGATGATGACTCATCACCAACAGCAGCAATCGGTATATACGATACCGACAGAATATTCGCAAGACCCAGTTAGATAGTTTTTGATAAATGAACAAATGAGACGAAACAAATGGCCACCTAATCGATCCGGAAGTAGTTTCCAATGTAAGAAATGCGATATATGGGCACTGACAACACAAGAATTGATGATTACCCAAAAAGCACAAGGCAGATACATGATAATATAAATAATTCTTCTAACGAAGAATCGAACCATATATGCACATTCCATCACGTCGGATACACACTAGTCATTAAATAGTTCATTTTTTTTTTCTTCTTTTTTTTCTTTTGTTATCTATGACACAGCATAACATCCATATTTGCTTTTTTCATGGTCTTTTTTACTATTGTATTATTAATGTACTGACGAAGAATATGAAACCGGTCTACACTAATAAATCATATACTGTTTTCATTTCGTATTGGTTGACACTGCACATTTGATCTTTGGTTGATAAGATACACTAGCTGTATAAAATATATATCTTCCACCATATAGGTTAAGTACTGATCGATTGCAAATTCCCTGTATTTGCTGCCTTTATGACACTGAAGTTTTACCAATAGACAGCTTGTATGTATGTGTGCCGGAAAAGTCGCCGGGCAATATAACTTACATGTGATCTGAACCAATGAGCGAAAACGTAAACATTGAAAATCTATAGTCAGTAAGTTGCATAACGAAAAAGTAAAAAGTAATTCAGTTCGTCACGAATGCGCGTTTTTCATTATCTCGAGTTAGCACTGTATGAAGCATTGAGATGTTTTTTCGTTGATATATTAAGGTAGTATATTCTAATTGAACTATAGTTCATCTAGTTTATTCTTTTGAAATAAATTATCTACTGAAAATGATAACGGTGACGTAAGATCATGCAAAAGTTTATAGATAAAACAAAATCATAAAAAATGTGGTATAATAATAGTAGATATTAATGTTTGTACAGTGGACCGCAAAATTAGCCCTTCCCCCTATAACTCCAGAATCATAATAGCTAGAGATTTCTAATTTTGCATGATCATTATTCTCACCGAATGCTGATAACTCAGCAAGTTTAGGCCTCTTTTGCTGAATGGTTCGTGAGATATAGGCATTTCATTTCTTTTCGTAAAATGCTAACAACGCGCCTAATCTATTTTTTATAAAGTTTCACCTACTGTTTTTTGTCCCATAGGTTTCTGTTATTATATTTTTACATAATTCTGATGCATACTAATCACAGAAGCTATGGTAGAATGGGCGACCCCTATTTCCTTAAGTTCGTCCCTTGTGTATGTTACGTTAGCGTCTGCTCATTCGAAACGGATTTTCGGAACGATACAATAGTTAACCTTCATACTTTGGCTGAAGAGTTTATAGCGTCTGCACAGTATTTGGCGCAATTTTGAAGTCAAAGTGATGTTCCTAGAATGAGTTATGAATCTTTTTTGAAAAGGACTTCGTATCTCAGGTCCTCATTTTCAGGGATCTCGATCATAAAATAACTGTCTTTCAGTAACCATTAACAGTTACCTCTTGAAATTCATATCGTAGATAAAGGAGAATCAGGACTACATTTTAGTAAAAAGAAAAAGTTTTTATCCATGTTGATCAGGCGTTATTAGCATCTTACGGAAAAGAAATGAAATGCTAATATCTCACGAATCATCCAGGAAAAGAGGTCTAAACTTGATGAGAACAATGATCATGCAAAGTTATAAATCTCTAGCTATTATGGTTCTTGAGTTACATGAGGTGGGGTGGCTACTTTTGCGATTCACTGTGACACACATGATTTCTTAATGTTACAAAAGAAGGGTCTATGGCAGATGCTCACGAGGATTATTACGCACGGGCATTTGCTCGCTACAGAGATTTTGATATAAACTTTTTTGGAAAGAGTGAGTGACTGACATAATTGTTTTTGTGATTGATTGTACTAGAAATGACATAGCTTTTATAGAGATGTAGTATATACAACCAATATAATTTATTATACTATAATAAAATAACTTATCATTTTATGAGCATCATCAGTTTAGGTCGTCATTTTATGCGAGTCATTAATCTGGAATACTATAGCATTATAATCATCATTTTGAAATGAATTTTTGACTACAAAATTTATGTTGAAATCTCTTAACGAGTAAGTGTCCGTTTCTCCAACGTAAGAGGGTAAAATACTAATAACTCAAAAAATATACGTTTAGCACATTTTCAATCGGAACAAAGGTAAAAATTGTCATCATTTGATTAAAGCTTAGTTACTAGCTAAGTTAAACCTTCATATAGAAAAGAGAAAAACAAATAGAAAGAAAATACAGATCACATTTACACGAATGATAGAGTAGAACCCAAAAACTTATAGCTTTAAGACAAACGTATTTACTTTTGAACTAAATTATCATTAAAGCCCTTGAAAATAATTAATTTCGTTTAAATTAGTTAAGACTCTTTTGCGTACGTTTTAAGAAATCATTTCCCATCTATTTCTTTTAGTATCGACTGATAGGAATATTTTGATTTCTTTATGTTGTTTTATTTTTCTCACTATCATTACTTTTATCTTGTCTGAGTTATGTCTGTAGATGTCTGACTTATTTTTTGCCTAATGAACAGCTTAAATAAATGAATGAATAGATAACGTTAGCAAAGATGGAACAAATATGTGTTTCTCTAGGCATTTTATTTATTGAGTATCCAAGTCATTAAGTATACCTTTTTATTGGGAAAACAAAAACGATGGCTAAAATTCGAAAGAAGGACTAATAAAATCAAAAGTAAAGAGGCATAAAATGTAGGTATGAGAAAGAGACAATGTAGTACAATCAACGATGCTAGTTCCGGATTGACGGAGCACCCACCAAAGGAAAATAGCTGTTACAAAGTCTTCTTGATACTGTATTTCTTTCGTAGCCAAAATTTATCGCTGAATCTTGAAGACTTACACCTAAAACATCGTAAGAATCAATACATATTATACGTTCCACACAGATCTTTCTTATTATTCAAAATTTTAATGCATGATAGTCTTACATACCTTCAAAGAAGAAATTCCTTGGCCTGCAAGATCATGATATTTTTGAAAAATTCTCAAAATCTCACTGAAACTAGTCAATTTTCACTTAGAAAGATATATAATCAGCTGAAAAGAAAAATGAACGTGGTTGGCTAACGTAAGTTATATCCTTTTCTGAATAGTATAACGAATATATAAATGTGAGAGTAACAGCAGCTGTTGTGAAGTTCGTATGTGAAAATGAGTTTCAAAACCATGTGCTGTTACTGTCACATTTATAATAAAGTTATAACCCTCAATAAGTTAAACATAACGAACATAGTATATGTAACACTTACTTTTTATTCTTGAAATTCAATCTTTATATATACTTCACCAAATATATTAAGTATTTTTTATGATCTGTTAACAATATCAATACAGAGACAGAGAAAGTACATGAAAAAGTGGTTGAATCTTTCTCTCTGTATGCATATGATTCATCTCTTTTTCTCTATTCTTTAAAGATTTAATGATAAGAAGTGATTAATTTGATCAGTACTATGGAAACTTACATTCAACAATTGAAATATATGTATGACCGTTGTGTAGTTAGTCTTATTTCTCTTAACTTTGTTTGTCTTCAATTTTAGTAACAATGATGAAACTAATGATGCGTACAAAATATCCAGTATCCTGTATGGTTTAGGTGATTAGACCATCCCAAAACATTACGCTTAGAGAATTTAATCTATTACTCTTTTACTTTCCATTTAGTCATTTTTCTTGTTGGTGTTGCTTTTTCCATCTCCCATGCAATTATTCCGGAAGAAGAACAAAGATTTAAGCATTTTGCAGAGGTAATGAATATATCTTTTCTTCCATTCAGTGGATAAAATAAAAAAACATTAAAAACGGTAGATGAAGCCATTTTTTTTTGTCTCAAATTATTGAGAATCGATAGTAATCAAAGATATACAGAAGTTGTGTGATAGATTTCGTAAGACTATTCTAAATCGTTTATTTTAGGTTTATTTCACATTTTTATATTGGTTATCAATATTCTGGATGTTATTCTTTATGGTCGATATCGTTCGTCATCGTCAAAGAATAAATTTAAACACTAATAAACCAAAAAGAGCTTCTCAGTTGAATATAAGCGGTCCCGTTGGTCGTAGTGATGTATTAAAACCCATTGCAGAAACAACATCGCATCATGATTTAAAATTATTTGATGATCTTGAATTAAATGAGACACACGAAAATAACCATTCTCTAATTGATCAGCATGCTAATGACGATGACAATGCTAGTGATTTAGAACAATCATTAGAGGATGTATCATTGCCGATAAAACGAACTGTTAGTCATCAGCATTCGAGAAGCACCGACGAACGTCGATCAGCATTAGATACAGGTATATAGTAACTATATCCAGTTATAATTATATCTACAAACATATTTATTCTCAAGGTGGAATAAATAATCTTCGGGCATACATTAGACATCGAAAAGATAGTATTGTACAACATGTGATCGGCTACAATTACGATGACAAGTCAACAGCCGGCGGATTATATATTCGAGTGGGAACAGGAAGTTCGTAGTAATGATCAGTATAGTTTTCTATAGAGTAAACTGTCGAATTGGAACGAGAAATGAATTCGTCTAACTTCAGTAACCTGAGTGAGTTCTGAACCGAATGGACTAGAGCGAGTTTGTGCGGGCTACATTGATACTGATGGAGGAGCTAAACAGCAAGAGGGTGATGTAACAGGCGACCGACCTAATTCTTATGAACATGATTATATAAATTTCCTAGTTTATCTTAGAAACTTTTATATTTTTATTAGATAAAGTCGCATATTTTATTCAAATGAAAAAAACCCGATGTATTTGACTGCAGAAGTTCCAATTTGATTGAATCAGAAAACACACTCTCCTTAGTATAGTTCCTAGAATCTGTTTTCTCTGAAAGTCTTTCAGTAATTTTCAGATTATTAAATAACTAAGATCTTTATCTATAAGCCCCCGTTTTGGAGAAAATCGATTCAGAACTCACTCAGATTACTGAAGCCATATGTTAGACGAATTAATTTCTCGTTCCAATTCGACACTTCGCTCTAATATAAATAAGTTACCGTGTATATCTTTATGAATCTCTTTCTAGTTTTTTGTTTTGGTACAGTTATTCACAGTGCTTTATCAATTCTCAGCAATTTAGAAATAATTAAAGGCACAAAATGGGCAACTGTCATTGATGATTTTTCTCGTTTATTGTTTGCAATCATACAATTCTTCTTTATATTCAAACATTCAAATGTAAGCGCTTAATATATATTATATTTGACGAGCTAACCAAATAGTATTTAAACGGTTAGGCTTCAAGATAGTATTTCGAGAAGACCACTAATTTGATAAACTTTGTAGAGGAAATATTTTCTCATTTTAGTTAATTATTCGCGCTCATGAAAGTTTTGCACGAGTAGGGGTTATTCATATTGTCGTCACAAATCTATGTGTGTGGTAAGCACAAGTTTTTAAGATAAATAATTACTGGTACATATTGTTTTTCTAAACATTGATCACCAGAATTGCAAAGAAACGATAAGTAGCTGAAGTTTTTACTAAAAAGTTTCAGATTTTTGGCGGATTTTTTCAGTCGCTCTCTTCTACACGGATGCATAAACCGACAGAAATCTTGGTAATGCGTTCTTAAAAGCACAAGAGGTCGTATCTTATAGATGAGTGGCTATGTGAATGGTTTTAGACATCGGTAATTTTTAAAGAGAGATGGGTTATAGTGATATCCCACAGAAAATGTATATGGGTACTTCCGCACAGGACCGTCCAGTATTATATGAGCTAAAAGCCGGGAAGGTTTGACTATATGCGATTGATAGTCCTACTAAAGGTATGTAAAGGTCCCCTAGAAAAATTATTTCGGACACGATTTTTCC